AGTGACAAAAACACATTTCATAGATTTGATGTTGTTTTACTTACAACAGTCTGAACCATATACGGCCTATCATTTCTTATGGTTCTTAGGTAATCGAGAATGTCWACATGTTGTTGCTCTTCCGCTTGACGTAGCATTGCGTCAATCATGATATAGGTACCAGTCCTCCCAACGCCAGCACTGAAAGTGAAGAAACAAAGTAGTGGATCGAAAAAATTAGGAGTGGATCGACCATTTACTAGTATTAACTTTGTTACTCTTGCTGCCAAAAAGAATCAAAAWCATATCGGATATTTTTCATGAGCAATGTGATCTTATAGACGAGGAAAGCCTTCTTAACTGACACTATTGCTTATATGTCAGATTAGCATTATTTGAGGTTTTGTGAAAACAAGGTTTCGTGAAAACAGAGCGTGAGTTTTAGTGCAAACCTTCACGCCAAATTTACTGGATCTCATCCTAAGCCATGGAGAGTCGCAAAGGGACATGCAGCAAAATCACTAGGCCTTCGTGCATGTAACCGTGGCCAAGGTAAAAAAAAGTTGAGTGGTCAGTACCTTGATGGGTAATCTGTAACTTGCTTCCTACTAAAAAATTTATTCCTGTTATATCAATTTTCTTTTTAATTCGTTTTAAATGTATGTATTTGTTTTGTTTTGTTGTTGTTTCTTTTTTGTTTTATTGTTGTTGTTGTTGTTGTTTTTAATTTTAGCCGATTTCTGTCTACCATTTGTAAATTGTTTCCCAGTTTTCACCAAGGCATATAAGCACCCAATTTCCCATTCGTTTCTGTAAAGGCAATGGACAATGAATGACATGAAAAACTAGTTGCGTCTTACCTGCAATGGACAACTGTTGGTCTGCTGTTGTCGCTTGAAGACAATGCAAGCACCTTTCGTCTGAATGAGAGTACGGCTGTTGCATGGTCAGGAACTCCTTTATCAGGCCAGGCGGTGAAATGAAATTGTCGAACACGTCGATTTTGTGAGCCAGCCTGCAAGAGATTAGAGATTAAAAGAATACACCATTGAACCATRTTCAACGCCATGACTTCRTTTACCTTTGATAGAAAGAAAGTCCGGATGGTGAAGTCTGCAAAAACTTCTGTCTTGTGATTGGTGATTGTGATGTCTGAGTACTGATCACAGTCATCAGGCCAGTACTGATAACACTTTTTCTGTTGAAAAATGGAATTATACTCTATTTTAAATCTGTTTCATTTAATAAAATATTGGAACAATTTCTTCATACGAATCTAGAGCAAAGCAAGTGTGTATATATTTCTTTTCGATTTCGACATACCTTTCCTAGCTCCCGAAGATTGGTCAGCATTACGATTGAAGATACGCTTTGCTCCCAAATCATTCGCCAAAAGTCGTTCAAAGTA